TTACATGAGAAAGTTACAGGTGATTAGGAACTGGAGTCTGGTGGTAGTTTTGTTACATGAGAAAGTTACAGGTGATTAGGAACTGGAGTCTGGTGGTAGTTTTGTTACATGAGAAAGTTACAGGTGATTAGGAACTGCAGTCTGTACATCAGAATATAAAAAATGGGTGTAATACAGTTTTCTGAATGAAAGTTTCTAGTTGTGAGACATACCCTTACTTAACAAGTTCTTTAAATAAGTCATTGAATGTATATATATGGATTCTTTTAAGGATTTAGGCCTAGAATGTGTGTACAAATTGTTCTACAAAATGTAAAGGAGATTAAGAAATGTGTGTAACACACAACTATTTCAGTTAAATCTTTTTGAAAGAAAAGGGAATTGATTGAAGAGTTTTGTTTTATGAACGTAATGTGAAACAGCTTTTTTATCTTAACAGACAGACAGCAGAACCCCCTGAAGAAGAGGAAACTTTCTTACCTCAGACCTCCAACAGCTCAGCCAGCCGTCGAACCAGAGACATGTATGGGCACACGGGGTTTCGTCCCCGAAACAGCCATACTCCGCCTCAGACTCCTCTTGTAGCTGCCTTGTCAGTGTGAGCACTTGTACTTCTCGTGGTGGTCTCACTCTGAGCTGTGCATGAGTAGATTTTTGTTAGTGTTAGGGAAACACTTAGATAGGTTTTGTTTAATTTTTCAGCTGTTTGCATGAATAACTGCTTGTTCTATGGAGTCTGAGGTTTTTCTTTATCCTGTTTGTACATGTGACATTTCTCATGGTTTATTACTTTTTTTTAAGCATGAATGCACATTTTCTGTTTTCAATCAGCACATGTCTTCCTTAAATCTTTTTTTTTTACACTTCAGTAATGAATCGGTAATAAGAAACTGTCAAACACATTATGTAATGATGTACATTTTCATGTAATAGTCACATCCAAGTGAACTTCATGTGTAAAATATTGGTATGAGAAGTAGGCATTTAAAATCTAGGTGATCTGTATACATTTACTATGTATTGATGTGATGAGTGTATATTCACATATATATAGTTGTTAAAACGTAGGTGATGTATATGTAATACACTTAAAATATAGATGATCTCTGTACATATTAAACATTTAAAGTCTAGGTGATGCATTACTTAAACTCGCATTTTCAATTTTTTGGCATCTAAGTTTTACCTAAATTAAAGAAAATGTGCTAGCAAAACTTCTGTGATACTAAAGTATACTTTTAACAGTAATTGGGGGTATAATTTCTGTTTCAAAACAAGTAATGAAATATGTATGTTCCATTAGGTTTAAGTTAACACCACTATATACTGAATGAACTTGAAAGTGTAGTAAACCCCTGGCATAAAAAGCTTAAGCGTGTATATCTACAAACTGTTTCTGCAACTTAGTGAATGTTGGTAAAAACTGGTTAAATCTTTCAGTTTTGGAACGTTAGTGAAGTATGAACTAAAAACATATGGCAAAGGATAGAAATTAAACACTTCTTACACTTAACAGCAAAGTTTATTGTTGGATACACAGAACATCTGAACAGCATCATGTGATACTCCAGTTTTGTATGATTAAGTTTTTTACTGCTAAATATTTACATGTTAACAAACCTAAACCAGTTTTGTATGGTTAAGTCTTTTACTGCTAAATATTCACATGCTAACAAACCTAAATCTATTGGTTTTGACAAAATATTAGTAAAGCCAATGTTAAAAAAAAAAGACAGGAACATGTTTTAATATTATTGAAGAATAACAAAGGTGGCTAGTATGACATTAGCTTGATGGTCATTTCAGTGTTTTGTTGAGCTTATTTTGTGTACTCTTTGCTTTAAGGGTAATTATTTAAGATACATCATAAAATTTCATCCAGCATCTTTATCACAAAGTCATTAAAGTTTTTAACAAACTAACAAATATTAAAGACTTAACAGTAATGTACAGTTTTAAAAGCCAATGGCACATTAGCTATTTAAATTCCTGGTTTTCATGCATTCATCAAAATACAACTAATGCTTTTATTGACTTATTGCATGTGGACAATTTTATCTGAACTAATGTATAACACCATATATTGTTGCTTCTCAGAAAATTTAACTTCTTTTTTTTGCGTCTTTCTACACTCATCCTTAGAAAACGATAGTTTTTCATTCTATTACTACATGTCTTTTTGTTTTTATACTTTTCAATATATCTTGTAACAGAACTGAAATATTCAGATTACTACATAACACTACTATAAAGGATAGTTTCATAATAACTCCATGCAATACTAGAGAGAATAGTTCCTGAATAAGTTAACACACTCATTACCATACCACAGTTTCATAATAACTCCATGTAATACTACAGAGAATAGTTCCTGAATAAGTTAACACACTCATTACCATACCACAGTTTCATAATAACTCCATGTAATACTACAGAGAATAGTTCCTGAATAAGTTAACACACTCATTACCATACCACAGTTTCATAATAACTCCATGTAATACTACAGAGAATAGTTCCTGAATAAGTTAACACACTCATTACCATACCACAGTTTCATAATAACTCCATGTAATACTACAAAGAATAGTTCCTGAATAAGTTAACACACTCATTACCATACCACAGTTTCATAATAAGTTGCTACACACCACAGGAAAGGATCTTTTCAGAATAAGTTACTACACACCACAGGAAAGGATCATTTCATGATAAGTTACTACACACCACAGGAAAAAATCATTTCATGATAAGTTACTACACACCACAGGAAAAAATCATTTCATGATAAATTACTACACACCACAGGAAAAGATCATTTCATGATAAGTTACTACACACCACAGGAAAAGATCATTTCATGATAAATTACTACACACCACAGGAAAAGATCATTTCATGATAAGTTACTACACACCACAGGAAAGAATCTTTTCATGATAAGTTACTACAAACACAGTGAGAGTTCAGTTTCCTTAGTTGCTTCACCCACAACTGAAGTAGATCTAGGTTATTATACAGTTTTGTGTAAGTGATAGACTTACCTTGTAAAAACACAGTGTAGTTTTTTTTTACCTGACAAGTAAAACTATTTCTATTTACAACATAGGAATAGTTTCAGCTTGTTTTGTTACCATACCAACAGAATGTGTGTATGTTCAGATGGGCACAAAGCATGACTTGTACTTGTGCATGTTATTATCCCTCTGATTTATCCCACTAATTGTACATACGTATGTATATATTTCAAGTGTAATTAATAATTAATAAATTCAGTAGTTTTCATCTTTATTGAGATAGATTTAAAAAAAAACTTTTTTTATAATCAATAACTTGTCCTGTAGTAATTTAAGGCTGAAATTCTTACAAATAAAATATTATTAGTTGGAAAAAAGCTCAAAGGTACTTATAGTTTTATATATTTGGAAATGGAAATGTATTTTAGTAATGCAGTCTAACGTATTGCTCGTTATAGCCATTCAGCGAGCCATAAACACCTGAAAGAAAACAGCAAAAAAACACAATGTTAATTACTCGTAAATTTATTAGAAGCAACGATTTTAAAGCTGAACTAACCTGGATATTTTTGGCCTTAGCTTATCAACATGTAAGCCGTGTTTAATATGGAGGACTTGTTTATTATTGGCCCTTATTATAATATTAAACTAATTTGAATGTATATGTATTCACACTTTAATATTATACACTTGACTTGTTCGGTATTCTAAAACTTGTGTGTTTTTCACTTGCATCAGCAGCAGTCTTGTAGTAAAAGTGATTTAATCTTGCTCGTGATGAGGACAGGTAAACTTCTGAAGAAGTACAACAGATAACATCCTGACCAGTTTTAAAATGTAGGTATTCTCTACAAAGCAGGGGTGAGACGTTTCTTTTTAGCATACAAAGAATTTTTTAAAACTGAACATTTAGAAACTTCATACATTGATAGTTTTGTATGTTCAGGTAGTCGTGAATTACTTGATCGATCAAATAAATAGAAAAACCATTTTTGTCTATACATTTGTGTTATAAAACTCTATGCATATATTTATAGGTGCTTGATAATTTGTATATGCACAAGGAACTGGTATTTTCAAGTTTTATTTAATACACAGTTGGTAAAATCCAAGTATAAAAGATACTAAATGCTTTTTTATGGTAAACCTTACATTCCGATTTTCCATTACAGCTATGGACTTCTGTGTATACAAATACAAGATTATGTTCATACTGTGTATACAAATACAAGATTATGTTCATACTGTGTATACAAATACAAGATTATGTTCATACTGTGTATACAAATACAAGATTATGTTCATACTGTGTATACAAATACAAGATTATGTTCATACTGTGTATACAAATACAAGATTATGTTCATACTGTGTATACAAATACAAGATTATGTTCATACTGTGTATACAAATACAAGATTATGTTCATACTGTGTATACAAATACAGGATTATGTTCATACTGATGTTTAACAGTAAATCTAATACTCGTATACCTGCTATTTTAAATATTCCAAAAAGTGAGGAACATGAACCGAGTCATTGATTTATTTCGATCAACTTTGTTTAAAGAAAACTTTGTCAATCTTGTAGTTTCAAATGCCTATGAATTTTTGGATAAATAGTTTAACAATATACAAAAAATAAATGTCTACACAAAATTGGATTTCATGTTTATTTTACTTATCAAGTAATTTGTGGCTAGTTGAACGAACAAAACTTAAGTAAAATTTCAACATATGAAGTTTGTAAATGTTCACGCTGTATAACCTTACCATATATTGGTATATTTTTTACATGTTAAAAATCAACTACTTACCCCTTCCCTCGTATGTACAACTGATGAATTTTTAAACCAGGATTTCATCTGCAGTATTTCTTCACCTGTAAAGATTATATTTCTACATTGAAAACATAAATTTATCTGTTAGTTTGGTTCTAATATAAGGTAGCTGCTGACATGAGTGACAGAATATTGAAATCTAAGAATACTCTATAAATCAAGTGTATTAGAGCAGGCCATAGATCAGTAAAGCATATTCAATTATTCAAATTATTTTATTAAGATCTTTATTATTAGAGCCAATAATGGACAAAGCTTGCATATAAAAGAGAGCTTATGTCACTTTTAGCTGAGGCCAAAAATGACTATGATTAGATCATCTTGTGAATTGCTGTTTGTTTTATAAATGTAAAGAAACTTTTCCTCTATTTATAGCTACATGTAAACTCCCACAAATGTGTGTCACTAGTTTCAACCTTTGACCTATATCAGTCAGGTGTGGATAGGTGATTTCAACTACGCAGTTTGTCTGCACGTCGAAAAATACATCAAACGTCCAGTGTTAAAGTAATATTAATTCTTTCTCCAATGATTTCCAGAAACAAAGAAGAATAAGATATGTGAACCTCCATGGAGTTTCTGACAAAAAAGAATTAACTTGAGATAATTTAGATAAAGTAAAACCATAAATATAACCACCTTAACAAATATTGACTTTTATAATACAAAATAATGAGATATGTATCATCCATGGTGTATAGGTTAATAACATCAGTGCAAAGTACACACTGTAGGTATTGTCTTACAGTTCCGTGATGTAACATGTAGTTTTATAATGTTAGTGAAAAGTCAACACTGTAGGTATTGTGTTAGTTCCATGATACAACATGAACTTTAATAATGTTAGTGAAAAGTCAACACTGTAGGTATTATGTTTGTTCCATGATGTAACATGTAGTTTAATAATGTTAGTGAAAAGTCAACACTGTAGGTATTGTCTTAACGTTCCATGATGTAACATGTAGCTTAACGTTCCATGATGTAACATGTAGTTTAATAATGTTAGTGAAAAGTCAACACTGTAGGTATTGTGTTAGTTCCATATGTAACATGTAGGTTAATAATGTTAGTGAAAAGTCAACACTGTAGGTATTGTCTTACAGTTCCATGATACAACATGTAGTTTAATAATGTTAGTGAAAAGTCAACACTGTAGGTATTGTGTTAGTTCCATGATACAACATGAACTTTAATAATGTTAGTGAAAAGTCAACACTATAGGTATTGTCTTAACGTTCCATGATGTAACATGTAGTTTAATAATGTTAGTGAAAAGTCAACACTATAGGTATTGTGTTAGTTCCATGATACAACATGAACTTTAATAATGTTAGTGAAAAGTCGGTGCTGTAGGCATTATCTTAGTTACATCATCTGAAGTGCCGTTTAATAATGTTAGTGAAAAGTCAACACTAAAGGGTTTACCTTACAGTCCCCTGATCTTATGTGTAGTTTAATACTGTTTGTGAAAAGTCAACACTGTAGATATTATCTTAACGTATACAGTGTGTAGTTTAATGATGTTAGTGAAAAGTCTAACACTGTAGGTATTATCTTAACATTACATGTTGCAATGTGTAGCTCAATAGTGTTAGTGAAAATTCAACACTATAGGTATTTTCTTAACATTCCATGATGAAACCTAGTTTGATAATGTTAGTGAAAAGTCAACACTGTAGGTAATTTGTTACAGTTTCAAGATGTAACATGTAGTTTAATAATCTTATTGAAAAGTCAACACCATAGATATTATCAGTTGCCTGATGTATCATGTAGTTTAATAAAGTTAGTATAAAAAAAGCCAAATGTAATACACAATTTAATAATGTTAGTGAAAGTCAACACTGTAGGTATTATCTTACCATTACATGATGTTACAGGTAGTTTAATAATATAAATAAAAAAGGTAAATGTTTAGGGAATACATGCCTTGCTAAGTTTCATCTTCCATTTTCCAAAGTAAAGGAAAAATAAAAACAATACATGTTTTGATGCCAAACAGAAATAAGCTTTATTATTGCTACTGTAATCCTGATTTAGTTTTATAGAGTATTGAGACACTAGTAAATTCTAACCTAAATCCTAGTTTAATATAAAATTGTACACGTCCTTTACTCCTGAAATTGTACCATTTTTTGACACAAGTTGCTTTATGTAGTGATAAAGGACTCAATATACATGATGTTATTGTGTGTCTTATGAGTTTAGTCTTGTCACCTTCAGTTAAACAAGAGTGTGTATTGTTTTCAGTTAAATAGTAGTGTGTATTGTTGTCACATTCAGTTAAATAGTAGTGTGTATTGTTGTTACCTGCAGTTAAATAGTAGTGTATATTGTTGTTACCTTCAGTTAAACAGTAGTGTATATTGTTGTCACCTTCAGTTAAACAGTAGTGTATATTGTTGTCACCTTCAGTTAAACAAGAGTGTGTATTGTTGTCACCTTCAGTTAAACAGTAGTGTTTAATGCTGTCACATTCAGTTAAACAGTAGTGTGTATTGTTGTCACCTTCAGTTAAACAGTAGTGTTTAATGCTGTCACATTCAGTTAAACAGTAGTGTATATTGTTGTCACATTCAGTTAAACAGTAGTGTATATTGTTGTCACCTTCAGTTAAACAGTAGTGTATATTGTTGTCACCTTCAGTTAAACAAGAGTGTGTATTGTTTCGATTT